GCCACAATCCGTTCAACAATCAACAAAGAAATAGTATTTGGCGTTCTCGCATTGTCGTTTCCGATACGCCTCCGAATCTTGCGCGTGGCCCCCAAGGGCGCCCTAAGATGCTCCCCACAGGCGCCCCTGGGCGAACCCAGGGGGCCTCAAAAGGCCACAAGAGACTCCCATGACGCCCGAAGAAGCACCAACAAGACTCCAAAGAGGCGCCCATGAGGCTCCGAAGAGCCCTCAGAGGACCGCGAGGCGCACGAAGGGCCGAGAGCCTCCGAAGAGGCCCCGAAGGGGCCCCGAGGAGGCCCCCAAGAGGTCCGTAAGACGCCTCCAAGAAGTCCGAAGAGGCCCCAAGAGGCGCCCCCAAGAGGCTCCGAGATGGTGTTCAAGACGCCTCAGAGGGCCCCCCCACGAGCCATCCCAGATGGCGGCGAACTCGGAGGATGCGGCTCCGCTCTCCCTTCCCCTCCCTCGGGGAGAGCCTCCGGGAGACTCCCGCGAGGCATCCCAGACGGCAGCGAGCTCGGAGGCGGCGGCTCCTCTCTCCTGGCCCCTCCCTCCACCCCGATCCCTCCCTCCCTCCCTCCCTCCTCCCCGACGCGTTCTCTCCCTTCCTCGCAGCAGCCTCTCTCCTTCGGTTCCTCCGCCCTCCGCGCGCCTCGCCCCGCTCCCCGCCTCGCTGGGTGCCCGGAGGCCGGACTCGAGACCATGGCGCTCCCAGTGCATCCTTTGTTCCTCCCAAGCTCGACCCCCCTCCACTTACTCCGGTGTCTGGTGTTGGCGTGCCCCAGGATGCGTCTCCGCCTCCCCCCCAATGCCTCGCTGCCGTTCCCCCCGAGCTCGTTCCTGCTCGTCGTCTTCATCCGTCTGCCGTTCCGCATCATTGCCCCCCCTTGGATCAAGTCGGGCATGTCCTCCCACAGGCGGGTTTTGGAGGAAACGCTCGAAATATCAAACAAATTAGCAGAAATAGCCGAAAAACCGTTTCCGTATTGTTTGGGGGGCTGTTTTTGAAAATTTGTCCTCCTGTAGAGGGACAGGCCCGACTTCACTCTTGGAGCGAGTGTGGGGTCCGAGGAGGGAGGACGGACGGGGGCGGGGGCAAGAGCACCGCGGAGCGATTTTTTTTTGGGGGGGGGGCGCCTTTGGCCTTCTTCCCTACGGGGCGCGAAAACGATCACAGCCACCGCTTTTCTTTTGTTGCCGCCTTCCAGCCCGCAGAAACAGAGCAGTGGCTGTGGTCATTTTCGTTGAGCTTGGCACCAGGGAAACGACCACAGCCACTGCTTCTTTTTCGGCCGGCTGAAGGCGGCGCAAACAAGAAGCAGTGGTTGTGGTCATTTTCCCGCCCCGCATTCCCCTGGGCCTCCGGAGTCTTTTGTGACCTCGGCCCTCCAGCGAGCATGCCAGCGGGCATGCCGGGCTCTCGGGCGCGACCTTGGAGACCCTTTTGGGGCCATCTTGGTCGGGGGCGGCAGAGAGGGGGGTGGTGACCAGGGGGGGGGAGGATATCCTGGCGTGGGCCCTGATATTTCCCTGGATTTCTTCTCTTGGGACGCCTCTCGGGGACTTCTTGGAAGCAGTTTTGAACCCTCTTGGGGCTCCTGCGGGCCTCTTTCGGCCATCGTTTACGCCTCCTGGGAGCCTCTTAGCTCATCTTGGGGGCCTCACAGGGACCTCGTGGAGGCCTATTAGTTGGCGGCCTCGAGGGCTATCTTGGGCCACAGGACGCGAAATGTCAGCTCGGGTTCCCTCTCTTACGAACCTCTTCGGGCCCTCTTGGGCCATCATCGGGGCTTCTTGGGCCGTCTTGGAGCCCTCCTGAGCCGTCTGGGAGCCCTCTTGGCCAGTCTTGACGCTCTCTTGGGGGTCTTCGGGAGGCGTCTTGGACCGTCTTGGGCCGTCGGAAGCTATCGAAGACGACAACGATACATCCTTCCTAAACTTAAATACCATCAGCAGCTTCTGGCCTCCTCAAGGCCTCTTGGGGACGTGCCAGGGACTTCCTTGGAGCGTCTTGGAGGCCTCTTGGGTTTCGGGGAGGCCGTCTTGAGTAGATCGTCTTCGGGCCCTTCAGGACCTCTCTGACACCGTCTTGGGTGCACTTTAGGCTGTCTTGGAGGCCTCTTGGGCCGTCTTGATATCTTCTGGAGGTCGCGGGGAGGGAGTATCAACTAATTGTGGCATCCTAGAGTTCGCCTGTCCGGCCCAGCTAGAACTCGAGCGCGCGCGCAGCGCTCGCGCTACCTCTGGGAATTGTGTTTGAATGTATATATATATATCATACATCTGGATCCACACATCTTCCTCTCTCTCTATACACATGTTGCTGCCCCTTCCCCCTCTCTCGCTCGGTCGCTCTCCCCGGGTGGAAGGCCGGCGGAGGGCCAGCGGAGGCACACCGAGGGCAGCTCCGGCAGCGGAAGTCAGTCGAAGGCTGGCAGAAATTCGCGGGAGTCACCATTTCAGAGCGTGAATTACCTCCCCCGCTTTCGCTTCCAGACAAAACCAAGTCATACCACGCGCCTCCTCGTCAAGCGGCCTGACCAGTACAGGCTTCAATTTGGCATCGTTTGGTATCTCTTGGAAGCGAGGGGGGTCAAAAGCGAGGTAGGTTTGTTTTCCCCCTACCATTGGCCGCCCAATGTAGTATTTTGGTCCTGAGAGAAATGCGGCCTGAGGTGTTTCGTTGCTGTTGGGACCTTGCTGGGCCCCGGGACTGTCAACAGACTGCACACGATGAAAGGCTGGTCCTGGGGAAACGCCCCTGGATCCAGGACCCGTTTCCCTCAGGGACTCCCATTCTTGAAAAATGGAAGTATTCGAGCCCGATTACGCTCATCATCCAATCACGGCAGTAGTCGAGTTCGAGTATTCACATCATGCAGGCATAGGTCTAACCAGATCCGATAATTAAAATGAGAGTAGTCGAGTCCGATTACTCTCATCATCAAGTAATGGGTCCGACTATTCCCATCGGCCTATGATGGGAGTGATCCAGTCCGACTACTCCCATCATCCAACGATGGAAGGAATCGAGTCCGATTATTCTTATTATCCAATACTGGGAGCACTCGAGTCCGATAAATCCCATCATCCAATTCTAGGAGTAGTCGATTTCGATTACTCAGAATAATTACTCCCATCATCCAATACTTGGGGTAATCGAGGCTGAATTCTCGCATGATCCAATGTTGGGAGTAACCCGGTCCGCTTACTCCCGTCATCCAATAATGGGACTAGTCGAATCCGACTACTCCCATCATTCAACACTGGGAGTAGTCGAGTCCGATTACTCCTTTGATTCCCGCGCCAGGGATCGTCGCCAGTTTGTTGTTTCTGTGGTTCGTCGGGGAAAGAGCGGCGCGGTTTGAGGAGCAATCGTTTCCTTGGGAAGAAAGATGGTGCTAGCCTTAGGGGATGGACTTCCTGTGAAAAAACACGACGGGCACTGGTTCGGTGGGATCAGCTTAAAGGACCTATCGAAGACGCCTACGGCGAACGACCAC